TTTTTTAAAAGTTGCAGGCATGAGGCTTGCTGGTTCTTGTCCTACAACTCAGAGTTAATGCCTTCTTTTGGGGAGAGGCACTGTAGCTGGTGTTAAGTGCTACAGTTGGAATACTTCCAAGCATTAAACAAAGACATGGGGGCGGGGGAGCACATTACATGGGGAAAGCACAGAGAAGTTTAATTACCATTGTTGAGTCATCTAACATGGTATGAGCCCAGAATTGCAATTATTGGACTCACAAGTGATAACTTTTAACCTGCAGGGCTCCATAATAATTAAGGGAGGTTGTTTAGTTTGGGATTTTCTGCGACTCTCACGAGACAACTGAGTAACAGCTGTGTTGAGGGACTTAAGACTATACAAAGCAAAAGAATCAAGGCAGTAAGAGAAATGAATTTCCGAACCAAACACATGAACAATAATTGTGCTGGGCCTTTGCACTCAAGAGTCCGGTTGTGCCCAGCAGCATATGGTTTCAGCCAGGTGATAACATTAATCTCTTGGCATCAGGCAATACAAGAAAAATAAAAAGGATGCGCCTAGAACTAACATTGGGTTAGGTTCTCAAAAAGTAAAGCAGACCTTGGTTAGGGAGAGATACACATTTACTAAGGAACTTGGGTCAGGTGACTTCTGAAAAGGCAAATTTGATCTTGGTGTGCATGAGTTTGGGAAATTGTGCAACTAATTGTAGCTGGTGTCCTAAGAGACCAGAAGTGGGGCATACCTTGGATTATAGGAAGCGGATTGTACTGGACAATATAACCATCCATCTCCACACAACCCTTCCACTGTATTGAGAACCCCCACATAAAAATCTTTGCCAAAAGGCTATGTATCCATCCATCCATCTATCAATCAGTCTATTTGATTGACTGAATGACTGATACATATCCTACATTTCATCCAAAACTAGAGCTCAGGGCAACTGGAAACAACATTAACCTGAAAAGGAACAGATTTAAAATAAAAAAAGAAAACCCACACACCCCTAACTTAAAATGTTAAAATGCAACTGAAGGAAACATGATTGAAATAAAGTGGCGCCCATTAAAAGCTCTTTCTTCATAAACCATCCAGCCAAGGGACTCTAAAGCCATTCCAAACTGATTCCTTCCACCAAGACCTAGAAAGCCCTGGGTATGATTTTGTTTTTAAGTGACAAGTCTCGTGTTCATCAGACATCCCTGGCTTTTGGTGGCGAGGGGGTGAGAACTGAAAGGAAAGTTGGACCATAATTTTTGAAAGTGATTCCTTCTTACAGGACTCTTGCCATGCCCTTACTTTGGTCATCTCACACTCTTATCTGACAGTGGTCTATGTAACAGCAGTTTAAGCATACAACCCCCATCCCCAACACTGTCAAACGCTTGGTAGCAATACCGTACCTAAGGACCAAAGTTCCTCGAAATGAAGACAATAAATCTGCAGAGTTAACAACGTCTACCCTCTCACAACCACACCTCTTCCCATTCACTGGCTCAAAGACTCCTGCCAAGGACAGAGCAACTGCCGCTGCGCAGTCTAATCTTTCAAACCCCAACCCCTGCCACCCAGTGCTAGATAAAAGTTTCTCCAGGTTGCAATTTCCTTGTTAGGGAATCCTAAATTTTCAATCATACCTTACCTAGGGCTACAGTCCTGCTCCAAACTGTGGAACCTAAACATGATATTTCCTAAAACTGTAAGTGATGGTGTATTAGATGGAGAATTTGTCCGACAAAGGAATTTGCACACTGTTTTCCGAGAATGTCAGATAACAAGCTTATTGGAATGTCATGGGAACACAGAGGAACTGCAACTTGTAGACCTCAGAAGGAAAAAAGTGTGTGCCAGAGCACAATGAGGCAGTATGGGGCTAGAGGCACCAGTTATATTTCTTCCAAAATTCACCATATATAGTGATGATGATGATGATGATGAAATTTAAGGGAGCAAATAATCCTTTTTAACAGTTTGCATTTCAGGTCCCAGGCCACTGAGGAGTGGGAACATTATCAACACAACCAAGATATGCTTTGATTGGAATTCTTGCATTATGCAGGGGGTTGGAGTCAATGGCTTTATAGGCCCCTCCCAACTCCATGATTATACAATCCTAAGAACCTTCTTCTTCCTGCAGATATGAAGGTCTTTCAAAGTGGCTGCCTCCAGCCTGTGACCCTGTTTTCAAGATAAATGCAAAACTGTACCCAAGTTGCTTTTACAGGTCCTATACTTAGAAACATTTAACAACTCATGACTTGTCTTATATCTGAACGCATTATAATTAAACTGTGAAAAAGAACTTGTTAAAAAAAAGACCACACGTAAAAAGCTCTCATCAGAAAAACTACTGAAAAATAGGAGTGTGTGAGGAAGAGGGGGAGAATCTCTGCCAAGCTTAAGAGAAAGAACTTGCATGTGATTTTATTTATTTAGATAAGAAGTGAGCAGATCTTGCATTACAAGAGGTTGTTGGAGATGCCACATCTCAAAAGCCATAGCCAGCATAGCAAAAGGTGAAGTGTGGGAGGGCCATCCCCAAGGTCGCTGAGCCACACTGTTGTTGGAGTGAGGGCATACCCTCCTAGCAAGATGCAGCTGCTCCTGAGGGGAGCCGTGGCTGCCCATTCTTCCTCTTTCTCATAGAGATAGAAAGCTAACTTCAAAGCCTTTCTTTGGGCCAACCCTAATTGGCATTATGTAACCATTGTCCTATCTGAACTCTGTCAACTATCTGTATACTATCAACAATCTGTAACTATAATAAAAGGGAGTCCTCTTGGGGTTGTTGTCCCAGAGGTGGATCCAGAGTTGGATCCAGAGGTGTATGAAGGCGTGTGTGGAGGACTCCGCTGGCAGACATCCATGTGTGTGACAGACTTCTTTAACTTCTCTCTCTAAGACTATTTGCTCTCTTAATTACTTGTGATCACATAAACTATCAGCTTTCTCATTTCGTGACCGCAACAGTGAAGGAACATGGAAGTTGCATTCCAACAGTAGCTAGCAGGACACTAACTGCCCACTTTGATTTAGACAAAGGGCTAGAATAAGACATTGCACATTTGTCATATTTCCATGCTATGGTACTGCTTCTTAGACATAAAAGTGAACGAGAAATGGGTGGGAGCGAGGGATAAGCAAGAAAGGGAAAGGGTAAAAAGTATACCCTTCCTCCATGCAAACCTCTGCTCCTACCACAATTGCTTTGTAACCAGAAATAGGGGGCAGTGTTTGGAAGCACAACTTGGCTGCTTGCCACTCGAAACAAATAAATACTTTTCATAGTAGAAATTCAATCAGAGTCTGATGTCTGTCCCTATATACTTTTGGCAACTGTGAATTCAAAGTTAGCCCTAATAAATGTGCAAAAATTAAGAATGCAGAACTTGATGTGCATTTCCTTGAAGACTTTTCACCCCAATATTTCTGTTACCTTAGCCTTGTCAAAAAAAACAACCTTGAGAACACACAAATATACACACACTGCCTTGCAAGGCGGCAGTCCAAGGATTTAAAAAAGCCACAAGTCTGTTTAAGCAGCAGAAGGTAAAGGAGGAGTTAACCCAAAGCCTGTAGATATGTAAACAAAGTTTAAGAGAACTACTTGTAACAACAAAGCAGAAATTAGTCATATGACTGCACCCTTAAAAATATGGGTAGGGAAGCGATTAGCAGGGTGGCAGCTTTTTTGGACTACAACTATAGAACTGAGCAAGACTAAACAGTCCTGGGAGACAGTGTCCTGTAACTGAAATGCTCAGAACTGAAATCAGGATTTCAACTGCTGCAGCTATACTACACCCAGTACCGCTGCAATAGCAGTCAAATTAAATACTTAGCCATTGCCATGTACGCAGCAGACATCTGATGCCAGGTCTATCAGATGCAGGACCAAAGCAAGCTGTGGTCAATCCATTTTATATTCAGGTTCTTCATATCCAGCAAAATTCTTCTACAACAGTACAAGAACTGCTTGATAGCTCAGTGGTCTAGGTATCTGGCTGTGGAGCCAGAGGTTTGGAGTTCAATTGCTCCCTGTTAGAGAGGGACATGGATCAGAAAAATGGGGATTCATTTGATTCATGATTTGTCAAGGTTGACGAATCACAAATTACAAATTTACAGTTTTACACCCTATAAAACTGCCCCCCAAGCACTTAGAGACACCAAACTTGCAAAGAAGCTTCCTCCAACTCTCGTCTACAAGCCCTGTATGTTTGGCGAAATTTAGGTTTTGGATGTCAAAGTTATACACCCACAAGGAGCGCCCTTCCAGGAAAGTTCCCCCCAGACACCTAAAGACACTTAAATCAGAGGAGCTTCTACTGACTCTCCTCTACAATCCCTCCAAGTTTGGTGAAGACTGAGTTTACCCAAGCCAGCTGCTAAAGGGCACTTTACTGGGCGGGGGGGGGCACTTTGTGGAAGTATGACTTAGATGTCTAAAACCCAGTCTTCACCAAACCCAGAGAGATTGTAGAAGAGAGTCATAGGAAAACCCCCTTCAACTGTGGTGTGTCTAGGTGCCAGGGGGGCATTTTATAGTCAAACAAATCAAATAATTAAAAAATTGCTAAAAATTCATTGATTCATAAGGGGCATTGATTCATATAAATATGAATCAACGAATTAGTTATTTTTGAATGAATTTGGTGATTCTTTTTTAAATAAGTGCCCATCTCTACCCACTGTGACTCCCTGACAGGAGCTGGACTCGCTTTCCAGCTCTGCAGTTCTACAATTATGCTGCTGATGATAAAGAAGTGAGAAACTTTGCCCTACAATTCTGGTTAAAAAACTAGGTAGAATATTTAGGCCCATGATAGCTCAACACAGCAGATTTGTATAAAATCACATCTCTCTCATTCAGAGGACTTGCATATCAAGCTCCTAGACTGGAAGCACTCAGACGTCCCAATCTCCAAAACAGAAGATAGTACAATCATCTGACACAAGAGCTCTAACCTTTATTCTCCTTAAGGGTTTTTTTTAAAAAAAGGGGAACAAACCTGAGTCCATGAAAATGGAGCTCTTTCGAAGCCCATTTGGTCGTTTCTGTAAATTTGACAAAACGCAAGTTAGAGGTGTTAGGCAAAAACAAGAACAAAGATGACAAAAATGTTGTGGCACCTTAAAGAGCAACTGCTATATTTTAATATGAGCTTTCATGAACAAATCCACTTCTTTAGACATGAGAATAGGTCAGAATGGCAAATATTGATACAGTTATACATAGCCCCAAAACAAGTTAGAGATTTGTTTTAAAAGCAGTTCCTGTCCAATTATTTGCGCACATTCAAATAGTACTCGTACTTTGGGCAGTTCAATTAAGTGGAGTTGAGTGTCAAAAGTCACTCCTTTAGCATTCAAGGCAAGGATTCAAAGTAAGAGTGCCTACTCCAAAAATTCTGCTGCCTCAAGCATAGTCCAAACAATGCTCTCTCACCCTACTGGAGCTCATACCTTAAAGGTCTTGCTATATTACTCAGATACAAATCTTTGCCTTCATTTACCATCTCATGCCACCCCCATGGTGCAATCATTTTGCTAGTTACATGTCCAGGCCAGCCCTGCCTAATAGATGATGCAGACCATCTGCTGTTTCTGTATTTCTAAGGGAATGTGGATAACATTTTGACATCTGCAGAAGTGTGGAGCACCAATTATAGGCAAAGCTCACTGCATGCAAAGGTATATGCTTTTCATCTCACAGAGAGCCTTCCTGGCATTAAAAGGCTACTACAGAATTCACCTCACCTGAGTGGTGAGGATGTAGATCAAGAGTTCATATCAGAAATATAATGTGAGAAAACTGTTTTTGTTTTTCTTTGCTGAAAGGGAGTAATACACAACAATGAACTAGTGCCAATACTTAAGAGAAGATAAAAGCAGTGCAGCTATTTGTTTGACAGGCCTTCTGACTACTAGAGAAAGGAAAATTATATGTTTAAAAAAAGCAGCTGCCACTCATTACTCCCCAAAAAGATATTCTTATGATGGGTTCAGACCGCAATTCACTAAAAAATTTGTACAATTTTGCAACTGGCCTACAATTGAAGTCATTCCTCTGCTTTATACCCAGGGTTTCAAAAGCTCTGGTATTCATTTACAGTGAAACTCCAATTAACTATAGAGAAGTGAAAATGCAATTATAATAAAAAGTAATTTCTAGTTCACCTTCAGTTTCCTTGCTCAAGTGGCAGATATGACTTGTAAGGGAAAGAAAGAATGTGGTCTTGGAATAATACACAAAAATGTATGTGAAAGCAAGTGTTAACCTTCTGTTTTTTTGTTTTTGTTTTTTTTAAAAAAAAAATTGCATTAACCTACACAATGAGGTTGAAAGTGAGAGAAAATGAGGGCAGCTTATAATCATGCAACATCCTGCCTCCCTCTCACTAGTCTTAGTTTTCAAACTGAAGTGTGGATAGCTTGTCTGAAGTTGAAATGCAGCTTGTTGATATCTTAGACAATACTGTGGAATCTGAGGAATGACAGCAAAGTGTATTAAACCAAACAGGGTATAATCTCCATATTTTCATAGTGGAGTAAAACAGCATTCTAAACATTAAAGAATAATGTTAAAGACTGATGTTAGAATATTTATTTGTCAGTCAAGATAGCTTGCAACAACTTGGTGTGTGAGACAGAAGCTTCAAATGATGCCCCCATGACAAGAAGATTTAAAATATTATAAAAACCTCCCCTCGATTTCTGACATTTATCCCACAACCCTCATCTGGAAGTTAGGATATACAATGTATGTTCTGAGCTACATCAAGATGTAATGCATATATACTGACAATATGCTGCCCTGTGGTTTTATTGCACACTCAGCTGCCTTAGGCTAACCAGCTCATCCTGTATATAATGGCAGAACCGGTATCTGCCTGGCCTCTTCCACCAAAGTGTTCCAGAGTAGGGAATGTCGTATGCAAAATAAATGCAAGCATATGCCAGCAACTACAGTGCAAATCACTTATCTTTCCTTCCTGAAGCTCTGCAAGCAATAACACTGAGATTATACAATCTCCTCATCCAGAAACATGAACACCTTTATACCCTAAATAACCATATTCCCTAGGTTTTCTGCAGAGAACCCAATGAGAACAAAGGCACACACTAACACAAATTTAGCTTGAACCTCAACCCCTCTGTCACCAAAGTATCATGCAGATTGAGTGCCCCAATATCAAATGGCTCAACCTCCTTGCATTCTCCCTTTACTGGAGAACACACGGTTGAATCCTGAACAGGGATAAATCTACATTTTTAATCAAACGGTAAGACCACAGTTCACATAAAACCCTTCACAGTGTATATGAAGTATACTCCAAACATATTTTGCTCTTGAATGAAGCAGGGTATGAAACAATGAACAGTGGAGCAGCAATGTGGTCCTTGTAGCCTTTTCACTTAGCACTGCCTCTTATATTTCAGAGAAGTACCTGAGGATTCAAGAGAGATCAATTCTATGTCGAGAAAAATAACCTTGACTTCCTTTCTACTGTATAAATGCATCAAGATAATGAACAGTCTTTTAATACCAAACTCCCTGAACATGTGCCCATTGGCCATTGCCATTCAGTCACAATGTTAAAGATCTGTCAAGTAATTCTGTGACAAGAGCTTAACTTTCCAAATTCGGTAGCTAGCTGAGCATTCGGCAGTCAAGAGGTTGAAAACTGCCGAACTTGGTATTCATAAGCTTCCTTCTGCCACCACTACACTATGGAAATTTAGTCACTTGTAATTCTTCTGCCAAAATCACATGGCGGCCCATAATCTTAAACTCAAAGAGAACTGCCTTGCTTTGGTTTTTTTCTCTGTGTTCTGCTCACATCTTGAACCCAAAGGAAATCTGAAGAAAACTATACAAATCCCCTGAAACATACTGCAGCATTAGAACTTGAGCCCGTTAAGCTTAAGCAAATTCAAGTCTCTCAGCTTCTAATAAGAGAGTTACACACTTGATTAATGTTTTCTTCAGTGAAATCCGTAAGGCTTGAAAACGCTTAATCTTGAGCTGATTGTGCCCTTTGTCTCTCTTTTTAACCCCAGTCTGCAGAAGGAGTTTAAGCACAAACACCCAAACCACTTCAGAGAATAGGATTGGGGACAGGGGGACTATTTCGTTACACAAACACATACATACATACACACAAATGAGGCAATTTGAATAAAAGACATATTCAATTTCCACATCAAATCTTTTTTGTTTGCTTGCTTTAATTAAAAAAAAAGGTAGACTCACCTCATGTTTCAGGGTCCCATGATCTGGAAGAAATGTAAACATTGGCATGGTCAGCTTGCTCTGCTCAACAAGAATAATCCCTAGCTCTGCAGCAGGGCGAGAGTACGCGGAACTACTGTGTGTTGCTAGCTGATACCTGTTTTATGCTCCAACAGCCTTGGGGCTCAGTTAGTTCTTTTGCAAACTGTATTCGCTAAGTTTTATTGGCTCAAGCTCAGTTGCACTGAAAAGCTATAAAGACTTTCAAGTTTATGCTCAGCCATGTGACAATGAGTTTTCTAAACCAACAGATCACCTAAACCTTCAGAAGCAGTTCTAAGACAGCAGAAACCAGAAGAGGTGAGACATTTCACATTTCAAATCTGCACTGCAATCTGAATTTAGACTATGGTAGAAAAGATGGCAGTCCCTCTGACAGAACATCTTAGTGCAGCTTTTGCATCACACACACATACATGCACTTCTAGTTTAAAAAAAACATTTTAAATGAATTTCTGCCCAGGGATGCAACTTTTACAACTCTGTTGTCAAAAATCAGTCTTGAACAAAAGCACAAAACAGATCTGAGTTCCTCACATTTGATCAATATTGCATATATGCATGAGGCATCGCAAAGACATAACAGCATTTTATACTGCTTTTCCTTACATGATGTTCAGTGGCCTTCATCTAAAGCAGTGGTTCCCAACCTTGGCCCTCATCTAAAGCAGTGGTTCCCAACCTTGGGTCTGGACTAAAACTTTCAGAAGTCTTCACCACTATGCTGTCCAGAATTTCTAGGAGTTGCAATCCAAGAATATCTGCAAGAATTTCTAGGAGTCGCAATCCAAGAATATCTGGGGACCCAAGGCTGGGAACCACTGATTTAAAGAATAGCACTACCAGTTTTGCACAACAAAAGAGAGTGTGTGTGATGTAGAGCACTGGAATGGGATCTGGGGGAGCCCCATTAAAAGTTCCCAGCATCCTTGGCTTTGTAATTTTTCTCAAGTTTTAAATGTTTTGCCTATACAAAACGTATGAGAATAATAAAATGGGGACAAGAGAGCCCTGTACATGTGCTATATGTAACATATAAACAAATATTTTTTCAAAATCGGTTGCCTTCTAAGGGGAGTCCCAAGACCAAATTGTGACATGGAAGGGGAGGGGCTGCCAGTATGAACACTAAAGCCATTATTTCTGCATATAAAAGGTCTTTAGATTCCAGCCAGTTTGTCTTCACCTTAGCTCAATGAAGACCACATTTGCTTGTTGGCCAGCAATTGTCAAATAAAGAAGTAATGGTTGGGCAGGAATGAACCAGCAGCAACTTTTTAGACAGAATCTTGTTTTGTATTTCAGTACAGAAACCATAAAGGCTAAAATCAGTTTTATTTTTACAGTTTCTCTGTATACAAATTTTCCCCCAAAGAGAGAATGTTTTATGCATAACATAATCATCATCTTAGAACTGCAGTGCTGGAAAGGACTCTATGGATCATTGAGTCCAGACCCTGTCAAGGAGGCACAGTGAGGAATCGAACTCCCAACCTCTGGCTCCGCAGTCAGACGCCTAAACCACAGACCTATGTAGTATCATAGCATTCTATAGCAAAATGGGATATAGCCTGAATTGCCATACGGAAAGTTTATTATGTTTAAAACTCTTTAGAAATTTACTTCAAGTCATTAAAACCTAAAAGCTTTTTAAACCTAAAAGCTTTAAAAATCTTACTCTGGAGGGCCTTTCTTTTTTGTTAAGAACCAAACTTTGCTGCTGCTCAGTGTCTTGAATTTAGTTTTCCTTTTCTTGGCTGCTAACCATAAATGCTGATTAATGAGCAAATAAGGCCTGCCTATTAAGTAGGATATGGGCATCGCTGCAGAGATAGCCGCCAATATTCACTACATCTGGTGGACAAAAGGGGACAGGTTTTTTTGACACTGCTGAAGAATGAGGAAGCAGTTTTGAGATTTTGTTTTGTGTTTGTTTTTCACTTGTTTGTGAAAACATTATTAATGTTTTCTGGCTCTCAAAACTAATTGTTGAAATTGTTTAGTAGTGGTGTTCTGTAGGACTAGTGCAACCTGTCAGCATTCCTACTTGTGTTCCCTCAGCTCTACCATCATTTATGTCGCAGATATTGCAAAAAGGAAGAATCTCAGCAAGACAAGAAAAGCAGTCATCTAGGTTTGATAGCTGACTGAAAAGCAGCAGCCTTATAGCTGCAAAGGAGTCCTGTTGTTTTTCAGGAACCAGTGCTCCTTCAATGACTGATGTAAGTCTCCTTAGGTCCTTTTTAAAGAGAAATGTGGGGTAAAAATATTTTAAATAATAAATAAATGACTACCACTGCCTATCCATACAACAACTCAGTGTCTGGGTATACATATTTTAAATGCACCAAAGTAAGTTATATAAGACTTCCCACTACTCATTAGATAGCATGAAATGATATTGTTCACTCTTTTTTTATTAAAGAAAAGAAGGAGAGGGAAGATTTCAAAAGAAGAATTGCAAGTGCATCAGCATACAATAACTCCTATGAACAAAGTTCAACTTTTGACATGTTAAAACTCAGAGTAGCACCCAGTTCAAGACATGAGTGGGCTTGTCTTCCATTTTGTTTGAACAGCTTATCATGAAATGAAACACAACTCATGCTGTTTGGCAACATTAATATACATATTAGATTTATTTATTTCAAGGCATGTTCCCAGGAGTGCTCTTCTTCCCTTCTCTCAGCACTTTATTTCGGGGGGGGGGGGGAGAGACACACACACACCACTGGATAGACTCCTTTGGAAGCATCAAGTGCAAAATGATCTTAAAAACATCAGAGTCTGCTTGCTGGATTTCACCAATGGCCTAGTATTTCCTCTCAAACCCTAACAGCTAGTTGCCCTCAGGAACATCACAAACTGGGCACCATCTCTTCAGGTATGGTACAGTTTTGCATTTGCTCCAAAGCACCTGAGAACAAAATACAAGTGTACCTGTGGACACGCAGCATTTTAGGTGTACTTAGGAAAATGTATCAGGTATGCACAAATAAATGAACATCTATCATATAGATAGATGTTCATGGTTCATAGAATATGGTCATGGTTCTCTGCTGCATCTGTTACTAAAAAGGAAGGGGGATTTACAAGCTTAGCCAAGGGCCACTTTACTTATTACTTTTCTTAGATATGGAAAGTATAAAAACAACAGACATCTTCATTGCACATGTACATTCACTAGGGAGTCATCACTGGCATCTGTTTCCTTTTCATATTGTTAGAAAAAGCCAGTATGAATGTGTGGATTGGTCCATTTAATTATGAAAAGACTCCACAGCCTACTTCCAAGAAGAAATCAGAAATGTTTTGTTTCTGAAATAATGTCACAGATAATGTCATCAGCCTAACATGGTATAATTTATGCAACAGGATTTTAGCCAGTGAAAGATGACTGCACAGATTCTTCTGCATAGTTCTACAGAGGAGTTGATGTTGGCCAAAACCAGACAAAAATACTGGGGAGGCCTCCGTTTTTATGTCTACTAAGGATTTCTTCTTCCTATCCAGTGGCTTGTCATGGCTTCCTAAGGAGGAAAGTTATTCCAAGGGTGCCTTGAGATCTTTGGGGAAGAAACAGGAAATGTTTTATTTCTGAAAAAATCACCAGGGCCGATGACTCAGGCTGTGTGACAATACCACTTAATGCACATGCTAGATCATTCTTACAAAACGTAATTTACAGCAATAGGATTTCAGCCATTGTTGCTTACACTAATTCCAAGGGATTTTTCTAAAAGAATAGTCTTTAAGAAAGTTGCTGGTATTAATTCAGTTTATTACTGACATAGAGAAAGACGTTTGTATCATATTTATGGGAAGACATTTTGCCAAGGTATCCCTTGCTCAAAACTGAGCAGAAAGGATAAACTCCACTATATAATCTGACCTTTCCTGCAAGCATTTCTAGTAAGAGCTTGCTCACCCAGTTCCCTAGCAAGTCTGGCCCATAGCTAGGAGGGTGGAAGGGTTCTGGGAGTTGTAGTCCAAAGAAGCAGCTTTTCCAACCTCTGGTTCTGCTTTCAGGCCATCTGCAGTCTTGGCAATGAAACACAGCCTGCAGCTCTCTCTCCCTTTCAAGTTACCTTGATGGTGCAGGAGACACTAGTCTCCTTCCCAGGGGGCCTGGTATAAGATTTATTGCACCTTATACCAGCATGCACTACTTTATCTGGTGTTATAAAGAGATGTTTTAATATCATTCAATGCAGATATTGGGCTAAATTTGTGGCTGTCTTCAAGTTATTAAAAATGCCTGGACAACAATGTAAATCAATAATAGTGACTAACGTACTGGAGAAGATAAGGCAAATAGGTCTTTAGTAGTTAGTCTGGGGAAGTAAGCAAGCAGATGCTGCTCTTCTAATCCTACATTACAAATCACAGCTTCAAAAATGCTCTTCTCCACAGCTAGTAAAAGGATGAGGGTGCCCTGTCCCTTTTCAGTTCAATCACCCTATTATTTATACTAAGGTTTGCAGACTCTTCCCCAGTCAGTTTGAGGATACAATAATTAAACTATTTTTGTTCAACTGCTAGAGGCAGAGATCACACACAGACAACTTCATGGATTAATGCACTGAATAAATTATCATTTTACAACATCAAAGATTCTGGATGTTCTTTTCCAAGTTTCTTTAAAACCTCTGCCCTGATTTGCTAAAATTAGAAATGCAGTGCTGTATAAAATGACCTGATCACTAACATACTTAGGTTGGTTTATTCTTTATTCTTTTTGCATGGCATGGTATTTAGTTTTATGTCTGGCATCCAATCTGGCTAAAAACCAATTGTGCTTTTAAAATTTCAAATGCCTTCTATATAATCTCAAGCCTCTGGGGTGAATTTCAAGCTTCTGGGGTGAATTTCAAAATGGTAAGTGAATTTTCATTATGTAAAAAAGGACTCTGCACAGCCATCCTGTCTTAGTGGTTCTTGTATTACTTTCAAGACAGTGGCAACTTTTCACCATCCAGTTATTACTATTTTGCAGATCTCATCAGCTTTAGCCAGCCTTGGCAACCTGTAAAGGATGAAGTAGTACTATGGCCTAAACCAGTTCATTAAAAAAACAAAACAAACACACAACAGAACTTAAAAAGCAGGCCTGCAAACAAGATTTTTAATTTCTGTTGTGTTCCACTCAGAGATTCAGTTCTTCAAAAGTTAAGGAGGATGCTCAATCCTAAAAAATATCCTGTCGTATATGCGCTTTTGAAATCACTTCTAAGAAAGAGATCCCATGAGCCTAATCATTACACTGAAATGTTCCTTCAAAATGTAAAGGAAAAAAGCCCAGCATACATGGGGCATTATCAACATGAATGAAAGTGAGAAGTATATTTTCCCAATATTATCCACTACAGCGAGAGTTTAAATTTCCACTCTTAACACTAAACCTCTCTCTGCCTTGCATTCTTTTTTCTTCTGACATGAGTCTGCTGTTCAGACAAACTATTTCATGCCTGTGCTATCTCATTCGTTCCTCCACTGTTCCTTATAGCTCTTTCCATCCTTTGTGTGCTCACTCACCCTAATATTTATTACGGTAATTTTCCTTGCGCAAGAAGTTCTGTAAGACCCACTCAACGCTCCAGTGTCATCTTATTTCAGCTGTGCACCTGCAGGCTGACATTGTCTTGTATTTTATGTTTGTAGAGTAACTACAGTAACCAACAGATTTCACATGCTTTAGAAATTAGCAAGCAAATGATTGCTGTAAGACCTTCATTGCTTCATATTTTAAAGCTTTCAAGGCAATGTTTTTGACTTTCAAAATCCTAAATAGCTTCAGCCGAAGGCAACCTCAGAGACCAGCTCTTGCCACAGAAGTTGTCCCGCATGTAACTGCTGGATAGCTCAGTAGTTTAGGTATCTGGCTGCAGAGTCAGAGGTCAAGGTTTGGATTCCCCATTGTGCCTCCTCGACAGGGGGCGGACTTGATGATCCATAGAGTCCCTTCCAGTTTGGCAATTCTATGATGATGATGATCCCTTGGTAGTGCCTGCCTCAAGTTGTTTCCTTTCTTGATATACTGTCTTCTGCTCATCACAGGGCACAGAAGAAGTTCCAACAGGTTTACATTACCACTTATATTTTAGGCCTCTGACTTCTAAGTAGGCTGCACTGGCTTTAAACATAATATTTGTGTATGATTATTTTGGATGTTGGACTTTACAGCTAGGAGTACCCTTGTACATCTGCTGAGTGGGAAAGCAGAATTGCTAGGGCTGTTCTAAAGCCAAATTTCAATGCAGACAGCACTCTAGAAATCAAGACAGTTCTTGAATAAACTCAGGATTTATCTAACAACTAAAAAATTTATGTAGCACTGAAGGAGAATTTAAGCAATGGAGTCTAAAAGAAAAAAAATGTAAGGAAATCCTTGCTGGATGTGAACAGTGGCCTATCTCATCTAGCATCATGCTTCCCACAATGGCAACCAAATGTCTAAAAGAAAGACAGAAAGGTAATAGCCACATCCCATCATTGCTCCCCACTAACGGCAACCAAATGTCTATAAGAAAGACAGAAAGGTAGCCACATCCCATCATTGCTCCCCACTAACTGGTACTTAGGAGAATACTGACTGTAATCCTGGAGACTGCATATAACCATCATGACTAGCAATCACATGTATTTTTACTCTGCCCCCTGGTAGAACCTATATCAATATATCACCAAAACTGCCCTGAACATGCTGAATTTCATCAGATCTCAGAAGCTAAGCAGGGCCAGGCCTAGTTTGTGCATGGATGGAAAATCATTGAAAAATCTCTCAAATCTTCAAATAGAGCTAGGAAAGGAATCCCATTTGAAACTCTGAGGACCAAAGGCCAGTCAGAGAGGTCAATATTGATCAAAATGCCAGATGCAGGGGAGAGGTATCAGGGGACAGATATCTAGTTGTCTCGTGTGCTCCCAGAGGCATCTGGTGGGGCCACTGTGAGATACAGGAAGCTGGACTAGATGGACCCTTGGCCTGATCTAGCAGGGCTCTTGTTATGTTCTTAGGAAATGGACCAATCCCCTGATTTAGTGTACTGCAGCTTCCTAAATAAGCATGAGCATGTTCAGTAGTATTTTTGCCCTTAATGTCTTTAACTAAAAAGTCTCTAGTGGCTTCTCTTTAATTCCAAAGCAGTCTGTCATGCGGTGTGAACAAGTGGGGAAGGTGGGGCTGCTGTTGAAGAAAACACAAACTCAAGTAATACAGGCTGCCTTGGGTGTGAATAAGTAGTTACGTGGTTCTCTGCAACTCCACTGGAATTCTTGTGGGTCTAAAAGCAGTTCTCTTATTTTCACTATTTTATAGTACAAAAAAATGGGTAAAGTCGCTATCACTTCAAGATGCAATTATAATTATGCTTATAAATGACCACTTCAAAAGTATCTGTGACACAAAGAACAAAAATTGGAGGAAAATTAAACCTTAATTATATCTGGCAAATTTTATAGCCTAATTAAAAACTGCATTCCAAACAATAAAAATGACTTACCACCAAAATTAGCTCTTCCACAATGGTCTAGTCTTCCCAGACATTCTTTGTGGACTCCAGCTCCACATTTTGAGCATAAATAGCCTTGATAAAATGTTCCCCTATAACATCAAATTAGTGGAAAAATTAGGGGGGGGGATGATGACCGATGTTTAGGCAATTTGTACAATTTGAGCTTATATTAAAGGCCACTTTGGAAAGCTCTGATCTATACAACATGGGCCATGAATTGTGCTTGACTGAAACAGCCCTGCAAGTTTTGATTCTGCAAAGGGCACTTGAAAAAAAACGGAGCAAACAAGACTACACTGAGTTGCATTTAATATTAGCCCTTTATGCTTTGAGCATGGATTTACAGCAGGAGATAAAAGTAAAAATGCCCCTAGAGAGCTAGCCTTCTAAGTGAGGTAGCCTACCAACTGCAGAGAAACTATACTGACTGCCTGTTTTGTACCAGCTGAGTTTCACGTTTTATTGTTAACAGG